ATAGATAGATAGATAGATAGATAGATAGATAGATAGATAGATAGATATAGACAGATAGATGATAGATGGTAAACAGACAGACAGAAACAGACAGACAGACAGATAGATTTTGGTGAGATTAAAAGAAGAGGGAGAAAAAAGTAATGCCATTATTAAAGACCCCTCTGGACAAGCAAAAAAATGTAGATGAAGTGCATCCAATGCACTTCTTTCAAAGTGGCATACAATAGTGATAATGAGATACATAATCCAAAATGCTGAAGACAAATAAGCCCTTCCTTCTACAGGAAATGGAAGGAGGGGCTTATAACCAAAGATATACTAGGTAGTGTCCATAATATGTAGGAATTTTGTTGAAAAGGCAAATTCCAGAATGAGCTGAGGCCTGTGAAAGATATAGAAAACAACAGAGTAATTTCTGACTAAGTTAGAAACAAATGGACAGCCAGAGACTATAGTTCTATTGTGAGGAGAAAGTATGAATTAGTAATAGGTGATGATAAGAAAATAGAATTTCTTAATTTCTATTTTGTGCCTGTCTTCTGTCTGAAGAAAAATAGAGCACTAGCTTTATTTTCATTCTGCATTGGATGAAGGAGAAAACTGCAACTTAGGATACACAAGGAGAGGGCAAGAGACAACATAGCTGACTTAAATGAAAGAAATAATGAAGATGATCTTGGAATTGTTTTAACTCTTATAGTGTTTGAGAACTTCCAGACAGCTTATACAAACCGCAGATGAACAAAAATAGGAAAAAAGAAGATCTGAGAAAATAGAAATCTATCCGCATATTTGGATGTGGCTGGACAGGCAGGAGCTAGTAAAGGTTTAGCTTCAAATTAATCTTGCTGGATTTACTTTCAGTAGCATTACTACTTTAGTAGATCAGAAAACCATATGTGTATTATACCTGGACTTCAGCCAAACCTTCAGCTGAGTTTCTCATGATATGCTCCTTAATACACTGGTAAAGCATGGCTAGATGATACTGCTGTTGATGGACTGGTAATTGTCTAAGATATTGTACCCAAGCATTCTTGTTAATAGTTCCATTTCAGCTAGGAGGGAGATATCTAATAGAGTGTCATAGACTGTGTAATGGATTCTAAACTATTCAGTATCTTCATCAATTACTGAAATGAGGGAGTTTGTGCAGATAGTACAAAACTGCTGCAGCTGGATAACACTTTAACAGGAAGAGGTTTTTTTTTAAAAAAATCTAGATATTTGAATTGTGGGCTGAAATGAATAGCACGGAATTCAAAGAAAACTGTAAAATTCTTCATCTCGGAAGGAAAAATGAAAGGCAGAAATATGTTAATAATAAATGTTCCAGAATTTATGTATTTATTAAATGTATTGACCATCCATCTTATTACCTACATGGTGATTCTATAGAATGCAGGAGACCCACATTGGCAATAGTGCATGTGAAAAGTATCTGGTGTCCTTATCAACCACAAGTTAAACCTTAGTTTGCAGTGTAATGCAGCTGCCAAAAGACAAGTGCTAATTTGGGGTGCATTAACAAAAACATTGGTCCTGATCATAGTAACTATTCACTCTAATTTCACCAAGTCAGACCCTATTTCAAATTAATGTCAATTTCTGGGCATGATAGTTCAAAAAGGATAATGACGAATTAGATAGCAACAACAAAAGCACTTAGACTTATATACCGCTTCACACTGCTTTACAATCCTCTCTAAGTGATTTACAGAGTCAGCATATTGCCCCCAACAACCTGGGATTTTACCAACCTCAGAAGGATAGAAGGCTGAGCAGAAGTAGCCTGCAGTACTACATTCTAACCACTAAGCCACCATGACTCATGAATAGTGCTATTACTTTGTGTGTTTGTAAAGACAGGATCCATCCAGTGGTGGGATTCCAATTTTTTTACTGCCGGTTCTTTGGGCATGACTTGGTGGGTGTGGCAGGGGAAGGATACTGTAAAATCTCCAGTCAGAGGTGGTATTTGCCGGTTCTCCAAATCACTCAAAATTTCCACTACCGGTTCTCCAGAACTGGTCAGAACCTGCTGAATACCACCTCTGGATCCATCCCTTTTGTTGGAAGAATGCCATTATTGTTTCTTTGTATAAAAAGGGGGGGGTAATAAGAAGCAATAGAAAAACTATACATGGATTAATTTATTAAATATTCTTGGGCAGAAATTTTGCAGAATTCTGACTTAATAAGTATAAGTAGTGACCAATAACAAAAGTTGGGTGAGCAGTGCAGATTTACACCTAAAAGGAGGTCATAGACCAGTTTTAGTTCTTCAGCAGTTCAGTGAGAAATGTATGAATATTGTATATTTGTTGATTTAGAAAAACATGAAAAACTGAATAGCTTGAATTATGGAAATTTTTGCATGAATTAAACATTGGTTGATGAATGCAATAGGGTAATGTTTTTGAGAGTAAAACAGAATGCCTAGCAAATGGTTTTGAGCAGAATATAATTTATTATGTTACCTTGATTGTTTAATGTATTTATAGATAAATGTATTGGGACTCTATAAATGAATTATAATTCCTTAACCTATAATAACATTAAACAAACAAGTCTAATGTTATAATGTTACAGTTGTGTTCCTGGGGACATGAATGCATGTGTACTTTGAATACAGATGATGCCATTTTGCTGGTAAAAAATTCAAATGATTTGCAAACGTTAAATGAATTGTATGATGCAATGAGGAATATGGATCTAAAACATAATATATCAAAAGCCATGATAGTTGCTGTTTCTGGGCTTTGTATAATGTAGCTTTCTCTGAAAAGAAATAATACGATGGATATGTATGAGTATACTATATGTATAAATACACATTTCTGCACATATTAATCACTTAGAGATATCTTCAAATTTGATAGATGGACTCCTTATATGAGATCAGGGTAAGTGCATGTTTTTTTAAAAAAAATCCACTAACAATATTTTGAGTCATCCAATGTTTATGCAAGTGAACAAATATTAACAAAATGGATCTATAAACCATGCATATGGCTGTTTTAGAATAAACAGCAAAATTGAGGTCTACTTAATTCAATAATGCACCTATTACTCTTTATCCATATAAATATATAAATATACTGCATATGACTCATAATCAGCCTTCACCGAAAATCAAATTTAAAAAAAACTATTTAAAATAACTATTAATTTATGTGGAGACAGGAGAATCTTTAAAAAAAATGTATAAAGAACTTATCTCTATTTCCAGGATTACTTTGACATTTATTTCTAAATAAGATCATTGTTCTTGAGTAATTCAGAATATTGTACTAAGTCAGTTCTCCTTTTTAAACGCCACCAGTCACTTGATAACTTGTGACATCTTTCATTCTATCCATTAGCTATGGATAGCAGACTAAAACTAAGCCAGCTCAAACGATGGGTAGGTTCTAAGTTGAGTTATATAGAAATATTGCAGGATGAAGTAAGCAGGAATCAAATAAGACAAGTAAGACAAATATTTATCTTTTCTTTCTTAATACAGAAAGTAAAACTGACATGTATGCTTGGGAATTCCAGAAGTTGGTTATTTTTAATTAGTTAAGTTTGCTGTAGACTATAATACATGAATCAGAATATAAATGAAACAATGTATGTAGCTCAGGAGTAATTGTGAATGCTCATTCTGAGCCTCCTAACTCCAAATATTTCAATGGAATTTGTTTCTAAGGAAATTTGCTTAAGCTAACAAAGTGCCCACATTATTATTGTACCGATTGTACTTTCTGCAAAGTTAACAATATTGTTTGCCTTTAAATTACTGTCATTTTTCTTAAAGATGTGCATCTGAAAGAATTGAATTTTCAACCAATGATTGAAATTAATACCAAAACCTTGTTATTACCTTACAGTTAAAATGCTCTCGTGTTTCTGTTTGTCCCTTTCTTCATCTTTTTCAGAAATACCAAGACTGTAAATCTGATAATGATAAAGAAGATGCTTCTGGAACATGTCAAAATATAAACCCTTCAGAACAGGGGAGATTTCCATTTAATACACTATATTCAATTCCCAAAGCTGTAATCATTTCATCAGATCTAGGAGGGCATCCTGTCTCCCTAGAAATGGCTCTGGTAAGCAGATCTTATCAATTAAGCATGAGCTGAAACTTAATCTTGCCAGAATTAAGGAAACATAGAATTCTTATCCAGCCACGCTGTTAGAAGGAAGACTGCAGTATACTGCTGTTAGTAGGATTAAAATAGATGTTTATAGGGAATGATCACTTAAAATACACAAACCTGATACCTCACTAGGCATACAGCATCATAGACATTAGAACCAGATATCACAACAAAAGATGATGTGTCACATCTGAAATTACAGGAGTTATTTTGGTGAAGAAGGGCTTTCTCTTTTTGGCACCCTCTACTACTAACCAGCATATAAACCAAGATTAATGAAATACAACTCTTTTGTTTGCCTAACAAGGGATGCTCAAACAATCAAACCATATTATGATTTAATATGATAGCCTGGTTTGCATAAAATGCTAAGACATAGTCAACTTCTATATTATAATCTAATTTAACCTAGACTAGCAAATCAAATGAACCTAACTACAGTATTGTGATCTCCATGATTTCACATTCCCTAGTTCCAGTGCTATTACCTGTTTGTTCCTGTTGACTACCACAATCTCTGTTTGAAATTGTACATCCAGCACTTCTTAAACGGGCATAACTACCTCTGTTTATTTTGTTGCTGTAGTGTTGGAGACAGGCTGACAAAATTATATTTAATTATCTGCCTTGGAAGGGATCAGTTTAAAGGTGTTTCTGTCAGCTTTGGAAGCCATATTAGCCTCAGAAGCTTCCATGCTGCTACATTCCAGTGTATGGGAATTTGGGAGGGAGGAATTTCATAGAGTGTAGGTAATTAGTCAAAACAACATTCTTATTCTCAGTCAAGGACATGTCGTCCTGCACCTGGGAGAGGAATGGTTCAAGGAAGGTCTCCATTTGGGACAGATGGTCATATGATGGACTGATGGGTGCAGTGGAATGGGAATTTGAAAGTTCAATTACCAAGGGAAAACCCGGAACTCTCAGATTTGGGTTTTCCCAGATGTGCCAATATGACAACTCTAATAAAATGTAACTTTGAGCAAATGCTCGTCTCGGAGTTTATTAGAGTTTGTTAGTTGGAATGCTCTACAGCCAGGACTAACTTGGAGGGTTATTGCCATCCTTATTTGGCTGTCTGGGACTTAAGATGTTTAACCAACCCCCAATTTTCATTGCCAAAGATTGCATAACAAAAGGTTGTAAGGATGGGACATGCCATGCAATTCCTGTGTTTTGGCATGGTTGCTTAGAAGGACTAATATAAAATAGAGGAAATATTCTTTACTCTATGACATTTTAAAAATGGTTTTATTAATTGCTTTGTGAGCTAGTGATTTTACTTCGCTTTTTTCTTCTATCTCTATATAGTTTGGCTCCAGGGATTTTTTTAAAACTTGGCTCTCTTTTTATTATGTCCTATAATGATTGTATATATGAGATTTTTAATATAACTACATCACCAAAAGATCTTTGACTGTTGGCCGACTTAACAGTGTACTAAATGAATCTATTTTTCCCATTCAAAGGAATTGCGAAGGATGTTATTTGGAAACACATTTCAAGTCTTCAACTATGAATGGAAAATATCATATTTCAGGTTTCACCACCCTTTTACTGATTTGGCCTATGCCTTAGAGATTGATAAGGTAATGTCTGCCCAACTTTTTTTTTAATTCATAAGTATTTTATCAGGACCTCCCTTATTTACTGGAAGGTCCAACCAAAGCCACTATCCGTCTACAGATACCGTCTATCTGTCTTTTCTTTTTTGGAATAATAAAAATAAAAATGGATTGCAAGCAATCGTGGTAAAGGAAGATTTATATTTTTAGACCAGCATCCTGTAATAGATACTTGTACAAAGTCTAGTACATATGGAGAATGTCAAGTAGTAACAAACTTTCTTGACTGATTATGTGATTTTTAAGTATTTTGCATTTTCTAGAGAGATAATTGGTAAATCTATGCTATATAGGTTCAAAAGTTTCCAGCTGACTCTAGCAACTTAGTGCACTGTCTGTTGGCAATTTTCATTTTTCACTCAAAACATATTCACAATAATGTAAGTCAGTTTGTTGTGTTGTTTAAGATGCTGGCCTAGAAACCAAGAGACTGAATTCTAGTCCTATGCTAGGCATGAAAGCTGGCTGGGTGACCTTGGACCAGTTACTTTCTCTCAGCCTATTGAGCTTGTTATTTTAGGGAAAATAAGAGGATAAAAGACTATTTGCACTTTGAGATATTTATCAAATATAATAAAGGATAAAAAACTAAATAATACTAATAATACTAATACTAATAGTACTAACACTAACACTAACAATGATGATAA